CAGCCCATATGTGACAGCAGTACTCCATACACGACCGGACTTGCGCTTTATATAAGGAACTGTCCCAGCGTGAAGTACCGCCGCACCCTTGCAAGAACACCAAATTTCCATGCGGCTGCTTTGGCTGTGGCTCAATAACTGCCCATAGTTGAGGTTCGGAGAAAATTCAACCCCTAACAACTGAAGGCGGTCAGTGTACTCCAAGGATACATTCCGAAAAGTAGGAGCCAGGGTTAGCGGGCTCTTTTTAGCGGTGAAAAGACACGCTTGTGTTTTGGAGGCGTTGAATCTCAAGAGATTGGCATAGCCCCATTCGGATACTAAATCAAAGATACTACTGAATCATACATAGCCCCTCTTTCGGACTGGATTTGATCCCAACTGGCCCGAGCACTTGGTTGGTATCTCTCTACAACTGTGCTATCGTCTGCATACCCATAGATACCGAGCATAAGCAGATTATTAATCTGCAGCAGGAAGAGAGTTGCGGAGAGAACGGACCCTTGAGGAACACCGGCGGCAGTCGCCACAGGATTGGATGAACAGCCATCGACGACGACTCAGAGAGACCCTTCACTCGGGAAGTTCTTTACCTATTCAATCAGACCAAGGGATAAGCCGTACGCAGGAAGCTTACCCAAAAGGCTAGCGTGCCAAACTCTATCAAAGGCATTCGAGACATCAACGGAAACAGCAAGTACTTCCCCACTGTACTCGAGTACCGACCGATTACGGCGAAATCTGCCGGTCACTAAGGAGGTCATTTGGTCACTAGGTATGCCATTAAGCGGGCGTTCAATATACGCTCCATAATTTTGCGGAGTATGAAGGTAATTGAAATTGATCGATAGTTGGCAGGATCAGCACGGCTACCTTTTTTAGGCACAGGCCGCACATTGGCCAGCATTAAGATTTGGGCACTATTCCAGTATTGAATGAGAGCCTGAACAAGCGCGTCAACACAGGATACAACTCAGGGGCACAGACCTTTAGAACTATAGCCGGTATCCCATCAGTTCCATTAGCTTTGTTCACGTCTAGACTTCGCAAGGTTTTAAGAACCTTCTTGTTGGCGATACGGACCTCTGACGTAGAGGTACCGCAGTGAGGTAATTGAGGTGGTACGCTGTTGCTTCTGTCCAGGCGCGAATTGCAAGCAAAAAGAGAACCAAATAAATCCTCTTTCTCTTTAGGAGCATGCACCAGTGAGCCATCTGGTTTTACCAGCGGAGGCAGTGTAGACCGACACAAGTTTGTCTCGACCGCTTTGGCGAGAGACCAAAAAGCTCTACTGTCAGATGGTTTGACACTCTCAGTCTCAGTCAAGAAGAGTAAGTGCGGCTTGACAGTCTCAAGGTGATAATGGACTGCATTGAGATTACAGTGCAGGACTCGGATGTTTGTGAGGTGCACTTTGATGAAGAGGGAGTGCAACCGCTGTACAAAGTTACTTTTCTTCTCCTTCCTGCTTCAACTTGCATCAGAATCCTCGGCGTCGACATATCGAATAACGCACAGTTCCGAGGTCACTTGAAAGAGAAGGCTAAATATTGACCTCTAAAAAGTTTGCCGTGCTCAGCAAAGTGGAATAGTTACATGATGGCTTGCACACGTGGAATACTGATTTCATCTCTGGGCACCCCAGTATCAACTCCTTAAACTTGTTCGCGTTCAGTGTAGAACGGCTCGAAGTTCTTTCTGATCGGCTCGATTTCCTGACGCTGTGAAGGGAACATATCTTTGCATTTTCTATCGCATTTACTAGGAGTGGTCAAAGGAATTGCTTTGATTGATTCTAGCCGCCAAACTCCACCAACGCACATCGCGACAAGACTCACGATACCAATCACACCTACTGGATGCTCGGCGTTCCACCACTGTGTGATTTACTAGGAGTTTTCTTCCTCGCACGAATTCTTTGTGGAATCGTCTACCACAAACGAATTTCCGGTGCGATAAACCTAGGGATCTTCAAGAAAACAACTTTATTAGAACGCACCTGCACTTGATAGTCGACACTTATCATCAGATGAGGTATCGAGATTCTCGTTAGCCCTCTCTTCTGTAAAAAAATACTGCAGGCCTGAACTGAAATTGCCGTTTTTTATTAAATAACTTAACGTATTTTTTTTTCATATTTTTTATTCCGTTTGTAGTATTCGATCCGACGATGGCCGACGGAAAGTGTCTGGGAGTATTGACAACTTATTTTTAACTATACATTCTGAAACATATATGAAAATCAGCCATGAGAATTTACGTGAAGTAAGTAATGTTTTTATGTACCTTGATCGCCTGATACATGGAAATTGGCCGTTTGACCAAGCTAGCAGGTAGGCATACGATCGTAGTACATACTAACACTACTCAATCGTCCACATTTCATACGTCAGAAAATACGTGACGTCTGGCGGACCTGGGATCTTGGACTAGATAAAAACACAACTGCAATCAATAAATAAATGACTAATTTTGAAATAAGAATTCGGTTTTTAAAATAAAATTAATTTGAAATTAGAATTCTTAGCCAAACAAAAATAATTTATAGTATAGTATGGGTGCGTTTGGCAGAAAAAAGCGCTAGCAAGCGCTTATAAGCGCTAAAATAGTTTTCGGCCAGGACACGATTGCTACTTCAGTAGCGCTGACACAATCCGCCATTTTGCTTATTTAATTTGATTGTTTTGAAGTAGAGTTTATAAGTTGTTTTGTGCAATATTAGTTTTAAGTAATATAATGACATGAATAAATATATACATGCTATTAAAAACTCATGATTGGTAAGTTTTTAATATGAATACTTTACAAACATATATTTAAATTAGGTTAGATTCCCCGCTTAAAACTAACATCGTGTCCTGGAGGAAAATAGCTACTTACGATTTGACAGCGCTTACCGCTTACGAACGCCATTTTGCTTACAAGCGCTTGCTAGCGCTTTTTTCTACCAAACGCACCCAATTTCATAGGTAAGACCTATTAATAGAATATAAAAAAACTACATTTGTATACTTACCTATATTATGTTAACGAAAGAACTTTGTCTGGCTATCTATGTTACCTTTTACACCTGCTGAACGGATTTTAATTAGGCGATGAGATAGACTGACTGCGTCCTGAGGGAAAACCTTTTACCGCGGGAAAACATCTAGTTCTCAGGGGAAAATTTAATTTAATGTGGGCGATACGGTGGAGTGGAAATCTATTAAAATATAAAAATCTATTATAGTAAGTATATTCGTGGGTTGGGCAGGCATAGGCAGGACAGGTCGAGGGGGCGCATACCTATTCGTAGTTAGCCTAGAGCGGTCAGAACTCTAAATTATGCGCTATTTACCGATGAGTGTGACAAATATAAGTAAAAAAAAATATGACTGAATTTTCTGGTTATTTCTATACGTTTGAATACTGATTCTGATAACACACTTAGCGGGAACCAATGGGCTTTTGTTACACGTTGTACCTATAGGTACGTCATCCAACTGAACACAGCCTCCCTCTCATTTCTGAGTCATTCGATTAAACCGTGTAGTGACAGTAAAAAATATCCACTACCACATATCATCCCATGGGTGTTGTAAGATGACAGAGAGAAACAAATTAGATGGGCAGCAGCGACTACGTAATAACGACTAAAATATAAAAAACTGCGGTTGCTAACCCGCTTGCCAAGCGTGGCAACTATGGCAAACATCCCTCCTATGAGGCAATCTATGGGGGAGGCCCAATTTCAGTAATGGACTTCAATAAGCCATAACGATAACGGTATAGAGGGATTGGTTTGTCGCTTTGCACCAGTACGTTGTCAAACTTCACAAAATCTTCTCGCAACGTATTATTTCTCAGACATTATATACGTGGTAGAGCCATGCTGCAGTGATATTAGTAGTATAGTTGTAGCATGAATGGGTCGGCTCGACTGGGGAAGGACCACGCTCTCACAGAATACCAGCGTAAAATAGTAGCTGCTAGTTAAAAGGGGCAATCGATTCTCTACAATCACAATCAGAAACACAGGAGTATTAAGCTGCTATTTTACGTTGATATCCAGTGAGAGATTGGTCCTTCCCCGGTCGACCACTCATACATGATACAACCATAATATAGCTGAAGCATGGCTCTACCACGTCATTGCACCACGCATGATTGTCGACTTACTTCAAAAAAGGAAGATTGTCTATTCCTCGATTTTTTCAGTAACTCGACCGATTTTCACGATTCTTTTCGCCGTAGTTTGCTAGTTTGCGCAAACCGCAAACCCTTAGTCGACTTTTACAAAAAAAGAAATGAAAAGATAATTAACGCCTTACCTTAAGAAATAAAACTACAACATTTTTTCCTATTTTATTATACGTTACCTACAATTAATGTCATCAATGCAATTTACATTAAGAACATAATTATGTGACACAGTGATTAAAATAAATTATTCAATTATATAAAATAAATTATTAATTACGCCACTCGATAGCTAAAGCATCAAAGAATGATTTACGTCACGTGGGGACCGTATCACGCGGCGGTAAGGGAGCGCCGCCATCTTGTGATCGTTTCGTTACGTACACGTATTCAGGTACCACACGGTCGCGTCCACGACAAAGACACATCCCGACCTTTTATTATTTTAAATTAGAGATTTAAATTTGATTTAATACCTATATTGCCTTAAAACTGGTCGGTTTTCTGTTTAAATTAAATTAGATTTTTTTTAAATATATAAGACGTCTATTGACTACTAGAAACTATGACGTCATTTACTGGTATCTACATAAAATTTCTATTTAATTGTCATGAGTGCCAACTACTTACCGCTTTGCTGCGAAGAAACTAAACTTCAATTTAAGGCAAACCACAATATAAACAAGCCATTGGTCAACCCATCTATATCAAAGTTCTTTGATTACAAAAGACTTAAATAAATCCTGATAAATGTGCTTTCTAAAACACAAAATGGCACTTTGGTGATAAGAGATTTGCACTTTGATGAATAAGCATCTGTGTCAAACCATTTTACTTGCAACGGAGCTCTTCCTTCTTCTAGTTGAACGCTTGGGTGTTTGATTTATCTTCTCTTCTGCTTCATTTTCCTTTGCCACTTCCGTTCTTGTTGACCTTTTTCTGTCTTCTAAATTTTCAAAGGACATGTCAACCAGTGGTGTATTCATGCTCTTGCGTCTGCTTCTTGTTAAAACTGGACTTCTATCTTCAAACGCATTCTGCCTCACCAGCTTTGACTTTTGCTTCACATTTTCTTTATTCTGCTCGGATTCCTTCTCTACATCTATTAAGGACAGGCCACTGTCTATATTGCCCTCTGCAATGTTCTCGATAGCCTCTGGGCTTTGTGAAAAACTGTTTTCACCATCTGAATTGTTAAACAGTACTATTTTTATGGATTTCTTGCCCGATTTCCTCTCAGTTGATGCTACATTTGTAGACTTAAGAATGCTTCTGCCTGGTGTCGCCATGAGGTTTATTGGAATTACTGGCACTTTGGACTGCTGCAGAGGAATATAAACAATTAATTAAAAAACTATAATAACAGTGAACCCACTATATAGAGTGACAGCTGATAAGACATGCAGAAAGTCGATGGATGCAGGTCGCTCCGGACCGTGCTTTGTGGCATTCCTTGGGGGAGGCTTAAGTTCAGCAGTGGACGAGGGCTGTAAGAATGATATTGAATAAAAAGATTGTCCATTCATTCATTACAGCGTATTGCCTCATACGAGGTGTGTTTGCCATAGTTGCCACCCAGCAGATGTGCCACACAGAGATCGCAGCCATTCAGCTGCTTGTTTTCCTCTGTCGTCTCTTACGACACCTCTTGGCTGTGACTGTAATTCGCGAATTCTAGCTTGGCCAGGCTGAAGTTAGTCGCACGAGGCTGCGCAGATATAGTCTCATACGACACCTCTTGGCTCTGACTGCCAATCGCGATATCTAGCTTAGACAGGCTGAAGTTAGTCGCACGAAGCTGCGCAGATATAGTCTCTTATGACACCTCTTGGCTGTGACTGTAATTCGCGAATTCTAGCTTGGCCAGGCTGAAGTTAGTCGCACGAGGCTGCCCAGATATAGTCTCTTACGACACCCCTTGGCTGTGACTGTAATTCGCGAATTCTAGCTTGGCCAGGCTGAAGTTAGTCGCACGAGGCTGCGCAGATATAGTCTCTTACGACACCTCTTGGCTGTGACTGTAATTCGCGAATTCTAGCTTGTCCAGCCTGAAGTTAGTCGCACGAGGCTGCGCAGATATAGTCTCTTACGACACCTCTTGGCTGTGACTGTAATTCGCGAATTCTAGCTTGGCTAGGCTGAATTTAGTCGCACGAGGCTGCGCAGATATAGTCTCTTACGACACCTCTTGGCTGTGACTGTAATTCGCGAATTCTAGCTTGGCCAGCCTGAAGTTAGTCGCACGAGGCTGCGCAGATATAGTCTCTTACGACACCTCTTGGCTGTGACTGTAATTCGTGAATTCTAACTTGGCCAGGCTGAAGTTAGTCGCACGAGGCTGCGCAGATATAGTCTCTTACGACACCTCTTGGCTGTGACTGTAATTCGCGAATTCTAGCTTGGCCAGGCTGAAGTTAGTCGCACGAGGCTGCGCAGATATAGTCTCTTACGACACCTCTTGGCTGTGACTGTAATTCGCGAATTCTAACTTGGCCAGGCTGAAGTTAGTCGCACGAGGCTGCGCAGATATAGTTTTTAGGAACAAAATGGTAACAAGAGTCTAGCTCAATATAGAGATTCGAACACGTATATTGCGTGGTTACAGTTACCACAGATTTAAAAATGTTACGCAGAATCGGTTATTGTTATTATAGGTTACGATTCGATTTTACTTACTGAAGCGAAAACTTTTTAGACTAGTTGTTATTTGAAACTCGATTAAAAGAGAAAGCGGCACTAATAAGAAACAAATATATAAATATATCTATGGGATTTAACCTGCGAGAGAATGAGACAGAAATGGAATACATTATAAAGCTTCCCTTTATCTCGGTCCCCGCTTTGTGCGGTAAAGCACCGCATGGATGGATGATTAATATAACTATTAACTGTTAAAATAAACAGTTAAAAATTAACAAATTTATTAAATAAATAAAATTAACAATATTAAATAAAATGATCTTAATCAATCCATTCATAACAATCCACGATTTTGTAACTTACCGATTTTAAATTAGTAGTATTTTACGTACGTTACGTCTCTTGAAAGTCAATCAATTTTTCTTCGATAAATGACTTGACTTTATCTACAGACTTTCTATCGGCCGATAGTTTGATCGGATTGGGCTGCTAGTGCGCACACTGGGCCAACAAAACAATTGGGTTGGACGTGGGTGCGCAGACTGGCCAACCAACAATCGTCCGATTGATACATTCGGTGGAGTTGGTGATGAGATCAGCCGCGTGGAATGGTGCCCAGAAATATTATTATTGCTTACTTGAAAAAAAAACTAAGAAAACAAAGGAGAAGAAGAATCAGAGTACTCTTATAAGTTCTTTTTATAGGTCGCTTGTCTTTTTTCAATTTCCCGAATTAGGTTTTCAATATACGTTTCGACAAGCAGCGACGAACTCAAATCCATTACGCACGCTCACCCACGCACATGACCTTTCCCGCATCCAACGCAGAGCGAACTGAAGCTATCGTACGAGTCGGCCTCGGCCAACGAAATAACCGGCAAGTGAGCGGGCGGGGAAGAGCGCCGTACTGTTCAAGCAGTCGGCCGATAGTTGGCCGACAGTTTAGTTTGAAGTCAATTGTGAAGCCCATCAAACCTTTTTATCGGCCGCTACGGAATCGCTTGCATACCTCTTCATACTGATTAAGAAGCCGACCAAACTATCGGCCGATATAAAGTCTGTAGTCTACGGGGACTTTTAACCTCACAAACACCACACCGCTTCAATATTCCGTCAAAATTCAAGCGGTCAAATATGACCGCACCCACCCACAGCACTAACCCATAAAAACTTATATATGGAGAATACTTTTCTATGAAGAAAGTTAGCATTATAGAATCTTTGCTGAAATTTTCTATCTTCTAGTGCTATAAAAAGTTAGTTACATATCCTAAAGATATTTATTTATAATCTACGTTCATTCCGTACGCCATTTTCGCGTAAATGTTGTTTTTTGGATTGTTTGTGTTGTCTTTTGGATTTTTCTAGTGTTTTAGTATAGTGTTACGTAAATAATTTCGATTAATATATATTGAAATAATTGTGATTTTCACGCTGCCGATATTTGTTTGATATGTTTTTTTTTTTGTTATAAAAATACAATAAAATCTTTTTGTAATGAAGTAAAACCTGACGTTTGTTTAGACCACAAGATAGAGAATTTTGTATAGATTTTATAATGCCAAGATTCTTCTTAGAAAAATAATCTCTAAATATAAGTATAAAGTAAAGTGATGTGGGTGGGTGCGGTCGCATGCGACCGCTCGGGATTTGCCGGGCGCATGCGACTGCATGTGATTTTTATGGTGATTGAAGGGTTACTGAAAAATTTGATGTCCCTGCAAATATCGTGTATTTATTATATATTCAAAATGTTTATCGCAATTCTTTAATAGATTTAGATATGCTATTGTTTTATTGAAATACATAAAGATATTTTCATTATAATAATCAATTTCAAAAATCGATATAAACAAAACAAACTGCTTCCGATGTTAGGAGCGAATATAAAGGGGCACATCTCCATCGACTAACGTCTTTACATGCGTAAAAGCCAACTTCAGCCCGGTCAAAATAGTGCGCCGTCTGAACGGCAACCTCTAAATTCAACCTTGTGAATGATATTAACATCTAAACTAGTTGACATACATATTGGTAAAGTGGGGTCTTTGACAATATTCTTAGTCCCTGGCCAATGCAGAGGTAATAAACCACTTACAATTTGCTAATAAGAATGTGTTTAAATTAAATTTTATTTTTATAGTTAAGTTTTCGGAAATAAAGTTAATTCTATATTTTTAAGTACTGATTCCGATTGAAGAGAAAATCAGGGTTTTTGTTAGATATTGTATAATTTACATACCTGCAAAGCTATGTCGTTACTCTCCACACTTCTGCCAATGATTGATGCCCGCAGCATCGCTAACGATGTAGAATCCTGTGAAATAATTATGGGATAATTCAATTAATCAAGGAAAAAACCAAGACCCTTGTTACTGGAAACGAGTGGAAAGTAAGAGGTGTGATGTGAAAAGAGGAAAATCTATTCACTTTGGGAGAGGAGCAACGAAGGATATTTAAGACTAAAATAATATAATGGAAAACTTTTGTCGAAAATAATTAAAAGTAATTTTTTAAAGACTGAAGACTGTTATTCCTTACAACCTAACACACATCATTAATAAATTTTTCAGGTAGTAGAATACAAAAAGCCATTATAATGCAATTATTATAGAATTCCATTACATTCATATGTACAAGCTATGTTGATAAAAGCGTTTTAAAAAGGATGACAACAGTCCTCTGCTGAACATGGATCCCCTTTATAGAACCTTTTACGTGGTAGAGCCGTGCTGCAGTTATATTGTGGTTGCAGCACGAATAGGTTGGCTCGACCGGGGAAGGAACACGTTCTCACAGCAAACCAGTGTAAAATAGCAACTTAATGCTACTGTGTTTCGTATGGTGAGTGTAGAGATCCGGAGACCCTTTTTACTGAACGAGGCATTCCATCTCAGTCCTCAGGGCTGGCAATGCATCTGCATGCATTTTGATTCTTAATCGAGGATAACTGTAGATGTCTATGGGGCACAGCATCCACTTACCATCAGGTGGACTGCATGCTCTTTTGTCACGCTTATTCTATAATAAAAAAAACTGTAATTGCCCCATTCACTTGGGATTGGCAATAGCATGATTGCAGTACGAGATATCCCTCTATCAGTTCTGGTATTTTATATTTGAGATATACAAGATGGCAAAACCACTACCTATCAGAGGTCATAAAGTGTTTTGGCCATTTACCTATGCATTTATTAAGATAGGTACCAATGTGAAAAACTTAAGAAAGTTTTATGATGAGATTAATAAAGTGAGGTGCAGTACTGGATCTTTCTTTCTTTTAATAGAATAATGGTGACAAACGAGCACAAAGTCCACCTGATGGTAAGTGGATGCTGTGGCCCATAGACATCTACATTTATCCTCGATTAAGAATCAAAACGCAGATGCGTTGTCACCCCTGAGGACTAAGATGGAATGCCTTAATTCCAGTAAAACGCGTCTCCGGTTCTCTACACTCACCATACGAAACACAGAAGTATTAAGCTGCTATTTTCAGCTGGTATTCTGTGAGAGTGTGGTCCCTCCCCGGTCGAGCCCACCCATTCATGCTACAACTATAATATAGCTGCAACATGGCTCTACCATGTATGATATCTTCTTACTACTATATTAATGGAACATACTTAAGTGACATTAGCCTAATGGCTCAAGGTACAGAATGCAAACTTAAATAGTTGTGAATTCCGGGCTACAACTGAAAACGCCATTGTGCCAAAAGCATTTTGAAACACATATTTGGACAGGTCAACGAAGATATTAGTAATGTTAATAGTGTTACTAGCAATGTTTTTAAAAATAATATAAAAACTATTTCACTGGTGGATACAGGTAATTCAAGGATATGCCTATATTATGTTTGTTTTTAAATGTCACCCCCAAAAGAGGATTTTCTCCTGTATTGTGGAGGAAGTTTATATGCATAAATTGCACAAGGACATATATCCAGACCTGGAACAACTATTTGGAGACCTTGCACATATTTGTTTTCGGTAGTGCTTAACTTATTGCTGCGCCAAAGAGCCGATATTGCAGAAATGCTTCCGATTACCAGTCCTGTGATATACAATATACCGCCATTTGTCGCTCTTCAGAGTCTATCTCTTAGCAGTTATTATATATATATATATATATATATATATATATATATATATATATATATACTCTCCCAATTAGAATAATTTTACACAATCACCACTTGACGAATAGGCTATCACAGTTCCAGGTGTCTAGCATTTCATCTGCTATTCTATTTCTGGATTATTATCAAGTAATTATATAGTAATTTTACAGATAGTTTGTGAGAAGGCTCATTGAAAATTTTCCTGATGTAATTTTAAAAATATATGAACTGATAATTAATGTGACACTAAAACAGTTGTCCTGATTGTAAATTTCAATGAGCAACAGCAACGGACACTTACCTTAGAAACTGAAGCCTTTTTCGCTTCACTAGAAAGCACAGCCTTTAACAAACTGGATTTGTTGGAAGGTGTACTGGGAGCAAGTGGTGATTTGACCGGTGACCGCACGCAGAAGAAACCCGCGTCGAATGTTTTTATGTTTGTCCCAGAGTTTGTTCGATCTTCTTCTGGTAGTACTGTTGGAGGGTCTTCATTTTTCTTTGCTTTTCTTGCCGCTGGACATAAAAACACATTTAATTAATTTGACATTCTTATTTCATAATTCGACCATCTTTGGTATATAATTATAAAACAAATAAGAATAAAGGTGAGAAAAAAAGCACATATTCAAACTGATGGTAATATGATGTGGACACTTTCAAAAATCTTTAATTAATAATCAAAATGCAGATGCATTCTCATCCCTGAGGACTAATTTGGAATGCCTCAATTCAAGTAATAAGGGTCTCCGTTTCACTTACCATAAGAAACACAATAGTATTAAGCTCCTATTTTACGCTGGCAGTCTGAGAGGGCTTGGTCCTCCCCGGTTTGTCAGACACATTCATGCTACAACCACAGTATAGCTGCAACTTAACTGCAGTGTATCACTTAATCAACTCTTACAATAAAATATGATCTTACGATACCATCATATTAAGGCATATAAACCTGATGCATTGAATTCGTAAATAGATAAAATTGTTTGTTTTTAATATGGTTTAAAATCAAATGCATTCATTTTTAAAATATTCAATAATTATATTACATCTTTTTAGAAAAAATCTACGTTGCCATTAAATGCAATAGCGTAAGATAAAACATCATTAGCTACAATTCTATAGTAAGTGGTTACTACTGCACAGATGTTTTGTCAATAATTGTGGACTAATTTCATCATCATTACAGCACTTCACAAAGCACAGTTCTGGGCCACCTGCATTCATCGACTTCCTGCACGACTGTCGTTACTCCATCTAGTGGGGGTCACCCTACACTTCGCCTACCGGTAAGAGGCTGCCACTCAAAAACCTTTTTTCCACATCGGTTGTCAGTTCTTCGAACTATATGGCCGACCCATTACCATTTCAGCTTACTAATTTATTAGGCTATGTCTGGTTCTACTGCAGATATCCACATTTCTAAGTTTACTAACACTAAGCAACCTTAAGCGTCCTCAAATGGTCAACAGTAAAGGATCACGTCGCTGGCCCATAAGTCATCACTGGATCTGAGGGCTTAGGAACAAGATTATTATATTTTCCCTTCTTTATATTTATTCTGTTTATGCTTGAGACTAAAACACAGCAGTGCAAGCATTTATGTATTATAAGTAAATCGAGCCTACATATATTTATAATTATTTTTTATATTATATATTAATTATATATAGAATGACGAGAGAAAGTAAGAAATAAAGTAAATGGGGCTCTACACCCTATTATGGAAAGTCAGAATGTGTCAAAAAGGCACGTATGACAATTCACAATGCTATGTTAGTCCCTACTTTAATGTATGATAGTGAAAGTTAGGTGTGTAGATCTGCCCCCGTTAGTTAAAAGGACGCATCCAACAAAAAGTAAATTTCGAGAAAAAAATTCTTGAAATGACATAACAGGAAAAAGCCCGCTGTGTAGTAAATACTTTTTTTTGTCATAGTGTTAATGTATGATGTTATTTTGTACACATCCACATAGACAGGATGGGCTGGCTGATGGGCACAGCAATATTATGAAAGAGGAACATTTATTTTTATTATTATTATTGTTAAATAATTATTTAATATTAACATTCATTTTAATACATAAACATACACACATTGAATTTGAAATACGGTTATTATAGTTGTTATTATTTATTAATTGATTTTGACATTTAATTTATTATTATGGGTAGTATAATTAGCACAGTTGAATTTTTATTAAATTATTTGAATCATTTTAAATTTTATTAGAATTTTTATTGTAACTTATTTACTAGGATGACATTTTATTATTATCCAACATATTTATATTTACATATCTCATCATCATCATCATCATTACAGGCCTTCACAAGTCCACTGCTGAACATATGCCTCCCCCAAGTAATGCCACAAAGCACGGTCCTGAGCCACCTGCATCCATCGACTTCCTGCATGTCTTACCAGGTCGTCACTCCATCTAGTGGGGGGTCGCCCTACACTACGCCTACCAGTACGAGGCTGCCACTCGAGAACCTTTCTTCCCCATCGGTTATCGGTTCTTCGAGCTATATGGCCGGCCCATTGCCACTTCAGCTTACTAATCCGTTGGGCTATGTCGGTCACTCTGGTTTTACTGCGGATATCCTCATTTCTGAGTCTATCACGCAGTGAAACTCCGAGCATAGCCCTCTCCATAGCTCGCTGAGCGACCTTGAGCGTCCTCATACGGCCAGCGGTGAAGGACCACGTCTCAGATCCGTAAGTCATCACTGGCAACACGCACTGGTTATAAACTTTAGTTTTCAGAGATTGAGGTATACCTGACGAGAAGATGTGTCGTAATTTCCCGAACGCTGCCCAGCCGAGTTGAATCCGTCGATTGACCTCTCGGTCGAAGTTGGACTTACCTAGTCGGACTATTTGTCCCAGGTAAACGTACTCGTCAACAACTTCGAGTATAGTGCTCCCAACAACTACCGGCATAGGTGTGACATGGACATTAAACATGATCTTTGTTTTGTCCATGTTCATCTTAAGACCTATCCGTTGGGAGACACCATTGAGGTCATTGAGCATAGTGCTAAGGTCCTCCAGCGATTCTGCCATAAGGACTATATCTTCGGCAAATCGAAGGTGATTGATGTACACTCCATTGATGTTAATACCGTATCTTTTCCAGTCCAGTGGCTTGAAAACGTCTTCCAACGCAGCGGTGAAGAGTTTCGGGAATATAACATCACCCTGTCTTACACCTCTCTGCAGTTGGATAGGTTTCGAACTCTGGTTTCGTACTCGGATAGCCATCGTAGCCCTGCTGTACAACCCCTTCAGCACTTCGATATACCGACAGTCAACTTGGCACCGCTGAAGGGACTGTCCAAATTTCGACGGAATCAAAGGCTTTCTCATAGTCCACATATGCCAGGCAAAGTGGCAGATTGTAGTCCTCGGTCTTCTGTACAATCTGCCGCAGGGTATGTATGTGGTCTATGGTACTGAAGCCTTTTCGGAAACCGGCTTGTTCGGGAGGCTGGAAGTCGTCGAGTCTGCGTGCGAGACGATTTGTAATGACTCTCGAAAACAGCATGTAGACGCGGCTCAGAAGGGAAATCGGTCTGTAGTTCTTCAAGAGAGCGTTGTCGCCTTTCTTAAAGAACAAGACCACCGCGCTTCTGCTCCACGCCTCCGGAGTAGTGCCACCATGGAGGACGGAATTGAAGAGCTTCTGAAGGACTTCAAGTATCAGTGTTCCACCCACTTTCAGAAGCTCCGCTGTAATTCCATCCTCGCCCGGGGCCTTGCCGTTTTTAAGGTGGTGGAGAGCCATTCTAATCTCGCTCAGACTGACGTCCGAGATATCATCGGAATAGTGTCGGATAAGACTTGCTCTTGGATCGTTACTCACACTTGCGTGTGGCTCCAACGATGATGTGTACAGCTGCCCATAGAACCTCTCAATCTCACTCAGAATCTCAGGTGTCCCGGAAACGATGTTGCCACACTCAGTCTTCAGCCTTGACAGTTGGCTCTTTCTGGCAGACAGATCTCTGGCAAAGATTTTGGAGCCCTGGTTCCGCTCGATTGCTTCTTTAATACGAGCAGTATTAAAGTTGCGTAAGTCTCGCCGCATGCATTTGGAGATCTGTCTGTTCAGTTGCCTGTATAGGAGTATAATAATGCCTGACAGATCAAATCTGTTGACGATTGCAGCCTCATCTCCCGTCTAACAGCCATGAGATTAAGAGTGTGATCGGAGAGTTTTTGTGTTCTTCTGCGGCGGGTCTTGCAGAACTTAGCTCCGACCGCATGGACAGTTTCCACGAGCTTGTCATTCATATCGTCCACTGCATTGCAATCCTCTAGGCACTGAAAGCGGTTTTGTAACTCGACCTGAAAGGTTTCGGGATTCTGGATTAGAGCACGAGGGGGACGGAGCGTTGACTTCATTAGACGAGACCTCTCCAACTTAACTTTTAGGTTCAGTGTGCCTCTAACCATTCGGTGATCAATGCCAGTTTTCACCCTTGCGATTTTTTTTTACATATCTATATTATATTATATTATTATCTTCTAAAAATTCTTGTTTATAAGTACTTGCTTTAATTTTTTTACAAATGGTTTTTCGTCTTTAATGTTTTTTTATATATTCGGGTAAATTATTATATACTTTTATAGACATGGCAAATGGGCTGGATGAATGAGATTTTAGTTTTGAAGTTGGTAGCACTAGTTTGTTTCTCTGTCTTAGATTCCTAGATATGATGTCATCTCATTTTGTGTAGAAGCTTGGATTTTTTTTTTTGGACAAATTTGCATAGTTCCAAATTATATAGATACAGAGCAGGCTTAAAATGTTATACTTTTTAAAGTAAGGCTTACAGCTTTCTGTGTCTCTGAGTGACAGTGTGGTTTACAAGATGATGTTACGACCAGGATTAAGAAAGGAATGCTTCGGAGGTTTGGTCATGTAGAAAGAATTAATAAGGAAAGAGTGACAATGCAAATTTATGTTACAGAAGTGAACAGAGAAATCTAAATAATAAGGTAATAGAAGTCGTAAAAGCGCGTGACCTTGTCGCCGCACATGTGACTCGTAGACCACAAGCGCGAAAAGGTCGTTTGTGTTGGTCACTAATTTTGTTTCTTACGCAGAGACGTAAAAGTGATGTTTTGAAGCATATACAACTGCGGAAATTCTTCCATAACTCGCAAATTTTCTAATAAAGGGATAACATTTCATAAATAAGTACTTAGTGTTTTAAATAATGTTGTTTTAATGAAATATAATTAAATAAAATTATTCACCTCCAGTACTACGATTGTCTCCGAAAATGTAATTGTTTTCACATTTCAAAATCCATTGATTCTTAAGCTAGTTCATATCTACGAGTACGACAGCTAAAAGCAGCGATGGATATAGTATGGGCAATACTCAAAATTGTTGCGTACGTAAATTTCCTAGAACACGGCCGCAGTAGTCGAACACGAGTCAGATACATGACACTACTATTTTATAAATTTATTACGTTTGGCTTACCTAGTTTTACCGAA